CCATCCAGTTAAGCAGAAGTGCCTTTTCTCTTTAAACCAAATCCTGTGTAGTGTTGCAAAGTGGTCACACAAGTATCCAGCAACAGTAGCACTTAAAGCTAGGATTCAGCCTTTCCTTTCCTTAAGGGCTAGGTGTGTTGGTAAACAGTCCTGAGAACCAACCGGGAACTGTTGCTATGAGTTTAGACAAAATATCTTCCAAAACAATTATGCAAGGCCGAAAGGAAAACATCCTTAACTTTATTGGAAGTAGTGCTACTTGCCATAATTTATTCTCTGTATCATAATACTTTTTTCGAGCTTGCAGGAACATGTTGTGTTTGTGCTTCTCAATGTTGGTAATTAAGGCAGTGAGGAAGCACCCAAGATAGAACGATCTGTGTCTGTAATATGACTTGGGAGTTCTATTCTGGTTTGGTTTTGATTTTTTTTTTTTTATCTCTGACTTGTGCAAGGACTTCTTAAATCTGCTTTAAGTAGTGTTAAATGATCACTAAAATGATGGCTTTTAGTCTGTTCTTAGAGGTTCTTTCAATTTGACAGACTTGGTCTAGAATAGTAACAAATAACATATAACTTCTACAAAATATTAACCAAAAATGGTTTGGGCCAATGGAGCCTCTTCACGGGAGTTTGGGTGCATGTCTCAGCTTGCCCAGCTTTGCTTACTTTTGGAAGCATTTTCCCACAGTTATCAGTGAGTGAAATGGAATCCAAGTCTGCTTTGAATATGAAACATATTTAGGCTATATTGCAAGGCGGTGTCCGTCACAAAGTAGGTTTTCATTCAGAGGCTGCATGCTGTGTCCAGTCGTGAGAAAGCAGGCTGCTTCAACTCTCTTTTTTTTTCCTCTCCTCTTAAGGAATTTGAGGTCTGCTGCCACTTGCGTCTTGTAGTAACTTCCTCTCCGAGCTCTGTTTTGGTTTCTGTTACAGAAAAGGTGTTAAGCGCTGCAGACCACAAATGAGCACACTGTGATTGAGCGCAGATGCAATTAAGAAGAAATAAACCTTACGATACACAGCTTCTATGGCAACGCACCAAAACCCATCACAAAGAGCTCTTATTTGTTCTATTAGTGTTCTGCACACCAGAAGCATGTTACGTTTATTGCTTCATTTGTAGTTTGCATTATACTTTTCAAGTCATATTTTTCTTGAGCTTTCTGTAGGAGTGAAGGGGGTTGGTGGTGGTTGGTTTTGGTTTTGAATCATTCTGTAAGTTTGGATAGGGCTGACTAAATGGCCGTTTTGAAAGATACGGCCTGGATAATAATATCTGAGTGGAGCTGGGGGAGGAGAAGATCTTTTAATGGCTCTTGTTCTCAAGTTAGGATTGAAGATAAAGGTGGCTTAGATGTAATAGCTGGCGTCTTCCCAACCCGTGGAGTCACTTCAGTTAGTTTATGCTTATGATTATTATTACTGGAGTGCTGGAGAGCTCATTGGCAGCTTAGTGTGTCTGTAGATGTGACATGGGGTGGATAGTGCCTCTTCCCTTTCCCTGCTCTTCCAAATAGTCTGATCTTAGCCTTTGTTTTACAATGCTTCTCTCTCACCCCACCCCCTTCCCGTATCCATCAGTTCTTCCCTCAGTTACCTGATACTTGTGGGAGCTGCGATGGCCCTCATGCAGACAAAGCTTTCAAAGGGGGTGCTGAAAAGCAGAGTCCCTCGAGATTGTGCTGTCAAGGCAGAGCCCAGTAATCTTAGCAACACTTCTTGCTTTCAGGATGGCTGGGGGAAGGGACATCAAGATTACTGTTCTGTAACTGAAATTCTTTTGAAGCTGTTTGGGAGGGTGGGGGTTTGTTTTTGGCTTTCTGGGGTTTTTGATGCTGCTTTGCTAGCCTGGTGTTTCCTGCCTTCCATGTGCAATTCTTCCACACATGCTTTATTGTGGCTGCAGCGCGGTGTCAAAGGCAGGGCTTCCTGGCTAAGTACATAAGATACATTAATGATGACAAAGATGAGCTACCCAAGGTGAAAGGTCTTCTAAGTCAGACTGGATAAGGTGGCTTATGGGGATTCAAGATCGTGTTTGTCTCAAGTATAATCTATTACCTATTTATGTTTTCAAGTATTCTAGTTTGGGGCAGAGACAAGAATTTTTCTTTGTAATTGAAATTTATGTTCTGGGTTTGATTTTTGTTGCTTTTTTTCTCTCTTTTTTTTTTAATGTATAGCTTTGAAACTAACTCTCATTTCTCTTTTGCAGCGATCCTACACGTTGCTCGTTGAGGCATGGGATTACAATGATAACTCCACTAGTAAGTATTCATTCTGCTGGTTGGCTTAGTTCAGACACCTTGATCTCCTGTCTGTTGAAAGGCCTTTGGTAGTCTAACCAGCTCACTGTGAAGCAGAGCATGAGGAGAGGGAAAAGCTCTCCCCCAGACAATACAGAACAACTACTCCAGGCTCCACAGCAGGCTATCTTCCTCATATTGCTTGTAGAGGATGAGTAGCTTGCTCACCTAGGCACCCATGGTTTTATGCCTAAAAATAGTTGCTGTTAATTCCCTCTTTTTCCTTAGATAGAATAAAAGCTAAGGGGTTTCTTTAGGGATTTTTGATTGGATTTTTTTAATTAGGAGTGATATTCAGAAGCCTGAGTGGTGCTGACTTGGAACCTCCCTGTAAACTAGGTACTTCTCAAAACTGAATGTGCTGCTATAAAAAGAAAGCCATCTCCTAAGACTTATTACAGATATCCATCTGATGACTGTAGATGAGAAACAGGAGTGACTACCAGCTCTTCCTTGGGAGTTGGATGTCTAGGAATTTATATTCAGGGGCTGAAAAGTATTTACCAGACAGCACCTGGTAGAGCTGGCTGGAAATCAAGGGTGGGAATCTTTTGCCTGGAATGTCTTTGGTTGGTTTCAGAAACTTTCTGCTAAGCTAGAAGAAGCTGTACGGAGTCTCTTGGCATGTGAGCTGTTCTGCTTATTGTCTAGTGTTACTGAAGGAGGTGGGCAAAATTAGCTCTGTTTTCAACCTAAGGCTTTAATAGTGTGTGGTAAAAGCCACAGGAGAAAGTATGAATCTGAACTCCTAAACCTTTTGTTGACACAACAAGCCTACTCCTTCAACAGAAAAGAGCGAATACTGTGGCCCATCTCACACAAATCTTGTAGCTTCTTGTAGTGCACTTTGGAATGCCAGGTGACAGCCTCACAGGAACAAAATGGACTTCATGCTTCAGGAAAGAAAGGCCTTATAGAAACGTGCACAGTGCTGTGGTGGTGTGTTTTAATTGGTGAAGGGTATAGTGCTTGGGAATGGCCTCTGAGTCTGAGAACCTCTCTGCACAGATCTCTTCATGGGTTTTTAACATACATGGGATGTCCTATCAGTTGCACACGAAGTCCAGTGTAGGTGGTTCATATGACCTGTCAGTGATAGTCAAGGTTTGCTTTACAACCGACTACATTCAATGCTATTCAGTGTGGAACCTGTGATTTTTGGGCCCTACCCCAGCTTTACCCAGCACTGGGGGACTTTTTGGCTCTTGACTATGGGGTGTTTTCTGGAGGAGCAGAAAATAGCTTGCTGTATTAAAAATCGAAGATGCCTGAATTCAAAATAAAGGTCTTGTTTATAGTAGGATCTGAGAGGTTTTTCAGACTGGGTCTCTGTCACTTTTACTATTATTAGAGCTCATCTTTTTTCATGAAACAACTGCATTTCTGAAGCTACACAATGAACCCTTTCTTTGCTTTCATGTGCTGGAAGTACAATTGTCTTCAGACAAAATTGCCTCATTTCTCAGCAGTGTATTTGACCAAGTGCAGACATGTTCTTACATATGTTCCTGATTTGCATTCCTACTCTAGTTTTGCTGTCACATACCCATCTCTAGGTCACTTCAGTCACAGTATTGCACAAAGCTTTGCCTTTGTACCACATCGCTTTACTTACAGTCAGCTTTCCCATAGCTGAAGAGTAAGTCTTGAAGAGCTAGTTAAGGAAATCATTAGGACTGGGCATCATATATAAAGCAATGAGGACTTTTTTGATGTCCAGGATTTTCTTTTGCATCAGTTGCCACTGAATTGTGAGGAGTCTGAGACAGCTCTCTTTCAGAAAAGTGGGTTTAGTAGGCTTTGTGTAACTTCTCAATAGCTCTAGCATCCTCCCATCAATGCAGTCCTTAGGAGATCCTAGAGTGGATGCTTCCTTCCCCCCTCTACATTCCACTCCTCCTACGTTCCCTTTACCACATACTCTCTTGTCTTGCTTCCAAGAGTGGTTTGCAGTTAAATTCTGGCCCTGTTGAACTTGATGAGAATCACGCTTTGTTGGAGCCAAGATTCAACCTAAATGGTTTCCTTACTCTGGTTCTTGTCTAGATGCCATCTTGCTACTGTCGCTTCATACATAAAGCTAATGGGGCTGACACTGCATCTCAAACTGTGTCAAAGAGCTATTGTAAATTACTGGTATCAGTTGCATGTGAATTCCAGTTGGGCATAAGAGACTTTAGCACAATGTAAACTAAGCCATAGCTGGAAGTTGTCAGAAACAAAGACCTTCAAAAATAACTGTGGTGTCCTTGGCCACCCAAACTGCCTTGAGGAGTCTGGGCTTTTCTTGTTGTTGTTTGCTTCCTGATGCTGCATAGTTATAATTTCCAGGCATTGGAGCACTGCAAAGCAAAGGTGGGCAGTCAGAACAGCTCATTTCCCTGTGCCTACAGCCATTGATACAGTTGCCCACTGAATAAAGAGATTAATAGCTTTGAAACGTAGCCATGAGAAGTGAATGAAACCAGCAAACTCTCTTACAGCAGAGTGGAAGCTAAAGATGTACAGAAAGCCTCTCTCTTCCACTTCATTGATTTTGAATTGGTTAATGTTTCCTCAACCCTTTGTATCGAAGCACAGGCTTCCGAGTCAGCTGGTGTCAGAGGTGTTAGGGAGATGGCTTTCTCTCAAGCCTGGTTGACTGCTGCTTTCTATTTACTTCACCAGTCTGCTGCTTTGGGATTGCTTACTATAAAACTTAAAACACTGTCGGTGCAGGCTAAGAATGGAAGAGTTGTTGCGACAAAGTCTGGGTCAGCACACTTGTGTAAGTGCATACTCGCAGGCAGGAATAGGGAAGGGTGGAGAAATTTTAGTACAAGAAGGAACACGCCAATACTTCATTGTGAAAACTGTGGGTGATGGCTCATGGAAAGGGATCTTAAGCCTGTGAGACCTTACTTGAATTGAAATGTATGGTGGTAGCTTTGTAAGGCGTATCAAATGAAAGGCATTTTAGGCATGATCCAAAGAAAAATAGCAGCTGGTTTTCATCTGGGCCCTTAGAATAATAAAGTCCAGTGGTCTAATAAGGATGTTTCCATTTGAGTTCAGCCTGTGGTTAAGGGCTCAAAAGAGCCGGTGGTTGGAGTGAGATGTTGTAGACATACAGCAAGGACATGTTTCCTAATGAGCTGGCAGATAGGGGAGGAATGATAGAGCACAGGCAAGAGGAAAGATCTCTTTTCCAAGGCGACTGTTTTTCTGGTGCCAAGGACTGAAATAGCTGTCAGTGGTATGTTCCCAATGGGGAACAGGAAAAGGCTGGAAAAGCAAGAGTGAGTGAGTGTGTGTGTGCATGGAGGGGGGTGGTTTACAAAACTAAATTGAGCGTCATTCCCCTTTTCTTCTCCCCCTTGCAGGAGAAAAGGATTGAGTTGTTTTATTACGCGAAACAGGATGTCTTTATGAACAGAGTGTCGGTATTTGGGGAAATGCATTTGCTTTCCAACTGTGCTGTAGATCAGGGTGTAATCTTGGCAAATGCAGCAAAGCCATCCCCAGCACGCATGAGTGGAGCTCTAATCGCCTGACTAGCCCTATTCAAGACGAATAGATATGCATCTGCTTAAGCACCTCTGAGAATTAGTCAATAATCTCGTTGATGAGATCTAAGAGCCTTACACCTGCACAGTACAGGACATGATATTGCTCTGGATAGACCAGTATGGAAAAGTCCTTAGGCATCTGCATGACTTGTGAATGGGGTTTAAATTAATAAAGGCCTGCACGCATTTGAAAGTCTTGCACATAGATGTGGGGTTGGGGGCTTAGTGCCAAGGAATAATAAAACCTGATTTAAATGGAAAATAGTATAGAACCAGAAATACCAGAAGGTGAATAAGAAGTTGCCCTTAATTTCACACTGTAAACACTTAATGAATGCTCTAGTCCCATGCCAAGGATACCCTAAGAATGGGTAAATGCTTGGTGTGTGTGTGTACTGACAGCGGTCTGTGGTGGTGCAGCGAGTGCTTTGAGCTTTATTCAGAGCTGCAGACAAGCGGGCAGAATGGGGACTTGATAATGGGGATCTGAGGCTTGAGACGCCTGTTTTGGAAGTTCTTTTTGAAAGCTACAAATCAAAGGTCCTTAGCAAAGACATCTAAAAATATTTTAGATGAAGAACTGCCCGTGTGGCATCTTAAGGTTTACGCAGGAACTTCATTAGTCTTCAGCTCTGCCTTATGTAAAATCCCCAACCTTGCCTTTGTAATTGTTGGAAGAGCAAGTTGGACATCAGTACCTTTTAATTCTCAATGCTCAAACGTGCCGGTGCTTCTCACACCGCTTTCTAACACATCGTTGGCAAACTGCCCTTCTACCTTCTACAGCTGCTTCTGTCACTGGGTTATGCTCCCATATACAGAACAGTGCAGGCTGGTACTTACTGTTGTTTTTGTACTATGTCTGCAAGGATATTTTGGCTGTTTTATGATAAACTTTCACTTGACAGTCAAGTGCTTGCTAGCCGCAGGTCGTAAGGCAGCATCAGATCGTTTAAGTCGCAGGACCCGGCCTACAAAGTGAAATACCACAGATATATACAATGCTCTGAGCTAAGGTGAAGTATTATTATTTCAAGCCATAATTTAGACAGTTGTAGGGCTCTGAAAGCCAGAAGAGTTTTGCTGCAGCTAAATGTCAAGTACAAAGTGTAAGCTCTATAGAGAGTACCCAGCTCTACAGCACACGTAAGCAGTAATCTGAGTGCTCTGCTTCAAGTTGTGGTAGTCCTGAATTTTTAGGGTCAGGTACCATCTGAGGAGAGAACTTCCATGGCATTTCTTAGCCAAAACATAGTGAGGTCACCGATGTCATCTGAATGCCAGAGTTGCTGGTTCTGGATTTAGAGTTTACACCAGAGTCCCGGAAGGCTGCAAACCTTTAGCGATGCTTATGTTCACTTTGCAGGCATTGCTTTATTAGGCTATTGTAGGATGATGTTTTCATAAATATTCCCCTTAAAAACAAAACTAGTACCATGAAAGGAGAAGCGAGGAAAATCACGTTATGTACCAATCTGTTGCAGCTAGAAGTAAAAGCAGCTGGATTTTCTTCAGTCATGAACTGTGTAATTCTTCCTGGATGCCCTTATGCTGCAAAAGGGATAAGTGATTGCCAGTGGCCTAGGAGTCCCTTTTGATTTCAGGCTTTGCTCAGTTTGATAATGCTGCATATGTGTTTCAGTTAATGGCTTGTAGCTCCAGGGCAGCCTTATCTTGCTCTCTAAAACAGAAAGTTAATAAACCCAACTAGCTGCCTTAAAGAGCCTTGCCTGTGAAGCTGGTGAGCTGTGATGTGGGAGGTAATGAAACCTAAACAGACTTTTAACTCTGACATCTCTTGTGAATTCTAGATCCCGATCGCATTATTGAGAAGGCATCCCACTCTGGCATGATCAACCCAAGCCGTCAGTGGCAGACCTTGAAACATAATGCAGGAGCTGCCCACTTCGAGTATCAGATCCGTGTGACCTGTGCAGAACATTACTATGGCTTTGGCTGCAACAAGTTTTGTCGACCGAGAGATGACTTCTTCACTCATCATACCTGTGACCAGAATGGCAACAAAACCTGCTTGGAAGGCTGGATGGGACCAGAGTGCAACAAAGGTTTGTGACGAATGCTCGAGCCCCAAATGATCAGCAGGCTTGGTTAGGATTTGAGTGTATTGTATCCAGGTTGCAATTGAGTGGTCAGTTTGTGCAGGGGTAATGGGACAGCAGCTCACTCTTTACACAGAGCAGTAGGGGCAGGACTAGCTTCTGCCATGTTTTAGTATCTTGGAGAGGTCTGACAAGTACTGGGCACTTAGCAGATGTGTTCGTTCTCTGATTATCCCCATCTTTGCCCTTGGGAAGAAAACCCAGCCCATTGACTTCAATGGGACTTCTGCCGCTGACTTCAAAAAGGATTTCCCCTTTGGTGCAGAACTTCAAGAGAAGCAGGAAGGAGAGACTTGTTTTAGGGCTGACCTGGCAAGTGTAAAGCTTTGGTGTCTGAAGAGTCCTAGGCTGTTTGTTCTACCTGAGATGGTTTGACATGTTTATTAGGGAATGGCAACTTCCTCACTAATTTCAGAAGGAGAAAGCAGGACTCTGAGCAGGAACAGACTATCAGCAGGTCTTGCTGACTGAGTTTACCTGCAATTTGAATTGATGCCCATCTTAATATCTTGTCCAGAGATACGGCTCAAAAGTAATCCTGGAGTAGTTAAAAGTTGCCTTGATGTAAAGCCAGGGAGAGTGGACCAGTCCATGTGCAAAAGACAGAGAAAGGAAACCTGTAGACTCAGAGTGACTTGAGCTCTCTAAGGCGAGATGGTTTCTCTTGAATAGAAGCAACATTGAACAGCATTAGGTACGATTCCCCTGTGACGCTAGCTGATGGATTTCCCATCACAGGGAGCCACCTACCTTGGTTTGCCTTCCAGTAGGCTTGATACGAGAAACTTATTAAAACCTTGGATTTAGTAGGATTACAGTGCTGGTTGGAGATTAAAACATTCCCACGAGTGCGAAGATGCAGGAAGCAGACAGCGTGCTGATACTTCTCTTTCTTTGTCTTAACAGCCATTTGTCGTCAGGGATGTAGCCCCAAGCATGGCTCTTGCACAATTCCAGGAGAGTGCAGGTAAATGCCCCCTCTCCCTCCTTGTTTCCCTCCATCCCCCCCAAATAATTAAACAAGTGATGCTAAACACAATAGGACTGGGGAGGGAATGTGGTTTTGGAGTCGTGTTTTTGACCAAGGCACATTATTCGTGCTGACTTGCCCAGAATAAGGGGGGAGCAGGCTTTTAATGCACTGATAATTTTAAGAAGCTTTTGGTTTGTGAAATGGTGGCGCTGGGAGAAGATGGGGGTATGAGATAAATCGCGTGAATGCTGCCTAATGAGCGCTAACTAATTGTTTCTGCATAAATAGTGCATATGTTTTGTGAGTACTTTTCCCCCCCACAAGCCCGATTAATAGGCTTTTTCAACTACAAGCTTGAAGTACAGTGTGGCTTTTCTCTCCCCTTCTCCCTTTCAGTCTTTTCCCCCTCCCTCCTTCCCACCCCCTGGTTTCTTCCATCAGTAGGCAAAAGTCAAGCATTCTTTAGAATGGGATTAGTTAAATCTCTCAGTTCCTTTACCATTGTGAGCCAGGCTCCGAGTGCTGAGAGGTTAATAGCTGGGATGAAATCTTGTCAGTAGGCTCTGATGAATGCAGAATTTTGCTCCCATGCTTTGAAGTCCATTCTGTCCTGGCAAGGATACAACGAAAAGCAGAGTTTATCCATAACCCAGCAATTAGATATTTGGAATACAGCATATTTATACAGCACAGGGAAACGTGTTGTTCCCTCCCTTACAAATACAGGGTTAATGGGTATTAAATGTGACAATTCCTCATCAGCAAACAGCTTGTAAGTTGCTGTGTGTATCCCCTTATCGTACCTGTTTACAGGTGATAGGGAAGTGAGGGCTTCTGAGGTTATGAGATACTGATGCTGAGTAGGAAGGGTTAAAAATGAAGCTTGGGAATTCAGGGATAAAACTCACAAATCTGAAGGAACAGAAAGCAGATTTTCTGCCTAGCAAACCTATGGTTGGATTCTCTGTTGCTGCAAACTTTTGCTTGAAGGGGGCTGCTTTTCTTTCTGGATAAGCTATAGTTCAAACAAGGACCAGGTCTGGGGTGTCTAACACACTATAGGAAATCAGCCTAAATAGACACAGGGGTTCATTCTTTCTCTGTCCCTGTGTTCTGTGCTTCAAAACCAAAACACGAAGTCATGCAGGAATGTTCTGAGAGGAAGGTGGAAAATAACTTCATCCTCTGCAAGAGATGTTGCAAAGTGAAAGTCAAGCCACAGGATGGATGGGGCCGTCGTAGGTTGTGCAGTGATTTCAATGTGTAGCAGTGCTGGTATAAGCTGCTTCACCCTCAGAAGACCAAATCTAAAGCTTTTTTTAATTAGAAAAGGAAAAAAAGCCTCACAAGGAAGTATTGGGGGGCCAGATGGTGAGAGGATTGTATCAGTCAAGGCTACCAGTGATTTGTGCTTCTGTCATCAGAATAAACATGCCTTGTAGAGGTTGCTGTCTCCTAGTCAGAACAACAGGCTTTGTTTCCAGAGTTTTTTCTTCCCTTTCTCTTTCTAAGTCTCTTGCCTCCCACTCACTGCCCAGACATGCACTAGTGCTCTTATTTACTTAAGGTGCAACTTTCCCACACTTGATTTGCATAGTCTTGAAACAATGCTGTCCTTCTGGTGCTTTCAGATAACTTCTGCTTGCCAAGTTAGACCAATATCTTTAAAGTGAACACAGAAACAAGATTTTATTCTCTTTTAAGTTTTGATGAGTCATATAGCCTGTATGTTATAAATGCAACAGAGGTTAAAAATAACATCCCAGCAGAAACTGCTCTGGGTTCTGGTACAATAGACAACTTGCAAACATTCCTAAAATATCCTTTTCCCTTTTGGTGCGAGTCACTTTCTTTAATGCAGGCCAGCCAACAAAACCATATTTACTCATGAATCACTAAACAAGGAAAGTTAACGTTAAATTTCTCATGAGAAACTGCTGCATACATATTATTAAATGAGAATTATTACCATGAATCTTATTTCTGGAATGGGTATCTAACTCTTTTTCTAATGCCCGTAGCCTTACCCAGCTTTGTTTGTTACACTTTGAAGCTGATGTTTGAAGAAAGTTGTATCTTTGGCTCTAAAGCTCATGGGTTTTTTTCCTCTGTGATTTAGATAGATATATATATATATATATATCATTCTTAATTACTTGTTTCTCTTCACACTTGCTTTAAGGAAAACAAGCATTCCTTTGATTTGGCAGAAAGGAGTAAAAGTCTCAGTCTGGATACCTGTTTTTGCAGGGGAGGTCCCTTAGTTTTGCTTGCATGCAAGCTCACAAGGGAGTTGCTTTGAATGCAACACAAATTAAAAGGGGATGTTCCTGAATTTTGATCTTTGTGCCTTCTTACTGTATTTCCTACACAGAAGGATTTTCCAAGGGCTGCTAGAGGGAGGTTGTTTTGCCTGATCTGGGTTTCTTTCATGTTCTTTGCACACACAGACACATAAGTCGGCCTAGTGCTTCTTTTTAACACACGAGCTAATAAGATTTTCCCATTGAGTTTGAATAGGCTGCTATTGAAATAGCTATTAAAGAAAGCACTTAATTAGGATGCAGTTTGTCACCTGAGGTTTCAGAAGGGAAGTCAGACTTACCACTGGCTGTGTGTGATTACCCATTGGATAGATCCTTCCAGCTTTTTCCCATGAAAAGAAATCGGCAGCGGAATGGTGGGGGGTTTCACAAATAGAAAGCTTAGCTGACTTCTGTGCAGATGAGGTTTGTTTTCATAACTTAGTGACAGCTTAGTGCATAATTGCTGCTGATCAATTACTCTCAGGACCTGTTAATGAAATACAGGACCTCAACAAACCCTGGCTTTTTACTTTCAGCTTGTTTTCCTTGTTTCTATCTTTAGATTCACTTTAATCTGAAGAATCCTTGCTCTGCTTGGCTAGTGAGAGCTAAATGAAAGCCAAAATGAGCTTTCCCTTAAGGGGGCTTTACTTTACAAGAACATCTTTGTTTTAAGTAGGAATTCAGGTAGCTCACTGGTAGCAGCAATACATGATTTCAATAATAATAATAATCATAATCAGTTCTTCTCCAGACATTAAATGAAAAGCTTTTCAGCATTGGATGTGTGTTAGTTATTCCATGACAAGATGCCAGCATAAATCAAACTGAAATACTGACAGCTGATCTTCTCTGAGTCCATGTAAAATCCTGATGGCTGCTGTTCTCTTTCACTTCTTCTGTGGCCCAGTCCGTGTTTGCAGTGTACATCTTCCAGTTCAGAATAAGGTTATATTCTGATAGAGCAGAGAGCTCCTGGTGCTTTGCTGCTGCCTTGCCAAGGGCTCCGGGTTGGTGTTTATGGTTTTGTTTGTCTTCCTGCAAACCCAGCCCGGCTGAAATGCCTGGAACCTTGTATTCATGGGGACCTCTGCATAACCATTGTTTCCACTGACTTTTTCTTCTCCCCCCCCCCCCCCCAGTTTATAAAGCACCCTGTCAAAGTCCAGAGATTGATTTGTAGTGCACACCCACCCTCTCTGCCACATTTGTATGAGGCTCCAAAGGAGGAGTATTGTGCTGAATGGCCTCATGCTGGTTCTCTCAGAACAGTTATTCTTTTGTCAGGAGGCCGGCAAGAGAGACCTTGGCAAAGCTACCATAATGTTTGTTTACAAGAAACCATCAAACAAACCTCCAATAGCTTCTCCCCTCCCCTCCTCCTGCCCTTCTCCCCCACCACCCTGGTTTCTCTCCAAGCTTTGGAGTTCCACACTCGCATCTACACAGGGTGATTCTAACGGGGTTTTGGGTTGTTTCCCTATTCTGACTTCTTTTCTCCCTCTCTTTAAACGCAGGTGTCAGTACGGATGGCAAGGCCAGTACTGTGATAAGTGCATTCCACACCCGGGATGTGTCCATGGCACTTGCATTGAACCATGGCAATGCCTCTGTGAAACCAACTGGGGTGGTCAGCTCTGTGACAAAGGTATGCTAATCTTGTCCATAACCCAGTGTAATGCTTGCGTTTTAACACTGGCAAACTCCGCGTGGAGAGAGTGTGCAGAGACTGAGTGAGTCCACTGGAACGTGGTGTTGGCATTTGGCACTGTTAGCATGTGTCCTTAGCTTCTCCCTGTCCTGCCCTGCAGGATGTGGGTGGTTGTGTTGTGTAAAGGCTCTGGAGTAATGGAACAAAGCACGCATGTGCTGATGTTTCTGTTGCTTTTCAGCCATGGGTTTAATGCTCCTCACCTCTTGCAGATCTGAACTACTGCGGAACCCACCCGCCCTGCTTGAATGGGGGTACCTGCAGCAACACTGGCCCTGATAAATACCAGTGTTCCTGCCCTGAGGGCTACTCGGGACAGAACTGTGAGATTGGTAAGTGTGTGACGCTGCCACTTGGTAGTTAATCCTCGCCAGCTTTCAGTGGCTGGTTTGGATATACTTCATGAAGTTGGGAAAAGCTCCTTTTCCGGTGTGAAGATGTCAGGGCTGGCTGCGAAGAGCCAGACTTGCTTGTTCATGCTTCATCATGAACAGCTGGTATCTCTGAACATCAGCCTTCTGCTTACTGGCGGGATCACTGCAAGTACCTTACCTTGCCTGGCTGTGACTCAAACAGGTGCAAGTCAGTGTGGTGATGAATTCAGCATGGAAGATGGTTCCTGCTGTCGAGTAGCTTTTGATTTGAGGTTCTCACAGCAGCAGTGATGGTGTGTCCAGAGGGAGGGAGCAGGGGGGTGCCTTGTGGTCACTGCTACAGATTCTAAATGCTGTGTTTCTGTCCCGGTGCAGCGGAGCACGCCTGCCTCTCTGACCCTTGTCACAATGGAGGAAGCTGCTTAGAGACGTCTCTGGGATTTGAGTGTGTGTGTGCACCTGGCTGGGCTGGACCAACTTGCACTGATAGTAAGTGCTGGGAGAATAGCATTAAAAATGTCCTGCTCTGCTGGTTTACACCAGTCTCTCTGATCCCTGATAAACTTAACCTTACCTAGCTTTAGCATTGATTCTTGGCATCCATTTATACCACTGTGCATTCTCTTCTCCTTTGCTTATACCAAGACTTTTGTTAAACACCAGGGGAAAGAATAGTCAATGGCTTCTTGAAAGAAGTAGAACACTGAATTATTGTAGCATGCTGGCAAGCTGCTTAAAATACTGTTTAGAGAGGTTTGCTGCACCAAAATATAACTCCCACTTGCCAAAAGGCCACAGGTGTAAGCTTCTTCCCCTGTGCTTTGAATCCCCTTTCACACTGCTGTGAAATAACAGGAGGCTTTTGCTGAAATCAGAGTAGATGTAGAAATCGGACACAGTCTCAGCCTCTCTTTACTCTGCTTTACAGATATTGATGATTGTTCTCCAAATCCCTGTGGTCATGGAGGAACTTGCCAGGATCTAGTTGATGGATTTAAGTGTATTTGCCCACCTCAGTGGACTGGCAAAACATGCCAGCTAGGTGAGAACTGCTCTTCTCTTCATCCAGTGTTGCTCTGGGGCGAGTGGGGGGAGATAAATGCAAAAGGGATCATAGTTGGGCAGACAAAGGGTGGCTGTGCCCTTTGCATTAGGCAATGGTTTATGGTTTTGGAGCCTATGGGTGTATTGTGGCACATGGAGAATATTGTCAGTGTTT